ACCGAAACTATGCTTCCCGTTCCGATAGCTATGCGGATCTGAAATTCTGTGTACTCCAGATGAGGTCACGGCCCGCCACGAATTCCGTTTCTTGGTGGTCTGTCTTTTATGCAGGCCTCTGGAAGACAGGTTATCAATCGTGATTTGTTCAATGTCGACGCGTCATTTCTACGTAATTAATAAGCTTTTGAAGTCTTTTTGACCAATCCATCCAACATTCTGCTTCTTTTTTCTGTATTCTATAGTCGACCTACCCATTCTCTTGTGTAACCACTAATTTGACTACTATGAACTTCAAATCGTCCACTTTACTATTTTCCCTATATGTGCCGAGACCTCCGTCTATCTGCATATCTTGGTTTCCTTGGGTCGCCTGTCTGTCTCGATTTTCATATCTATATTTATATGGATATATATATTTATATATATATATGTATAGTTGTCCGTGTATACACGTGAATCAGTCTGTCCGTTATTTTGACCGTGGCAATTAATTTAAATTAACCGCAAAAAGCATGCTATGCCAAAATTTCTGTTCGAGGGCAGATTATTTCAAACAACTGTCCCAAACGCGTCCGAGATACCGTTTGTCTGGTCAAGTTGTCCTCCCTCGACTGAATTCCACTCAGGGGACACTAGTGCTCCTGTTAGACATGGTTGTAGAAAAGTCACTTTATACAGCATTTCCTTCACGAGGGATTGGCCAGCTACTTGGATCTGTACATTCTCAGTAAGGCTCGGTTTTACCGCCGAGCACTCTGCACCACACAATGACTATGCTAGAGAGCCAAATCTCTCTTCATCGAGATCAGAGCCACCAGGGCGAAGCAGGCCGTTGCGTCATCCACATAAGGGAAGAGGTGAGAAACGTTGGTGTGCGGGAGACACCAAGCCCGTTTCGGAAACTTAGCTAGTGTACACTGTCATCAACGAGGAAGCAGCAGCACCGCCTTCAACGCTCATATCCTTCCGCCCACATCTTTCATTCATCCCCTTGCCACTCATCGTAGTGACCATCACCCGGTGAGCCTTTATTTGGACATCGCTTCTGCACTGCCCTTGGCTGGAGGCGGTCTTATGGAGCCAACGGTTTCGCATAATCGCTTGTGTAATCCGGCCACGGCGGAAACCGTTGTGTTCGTGTAAGTGTACGCGTGCATATGGGCATGTGTGCATGTGTGTGAGGGTGCAAACGTGCATTCTTCCCGTCCACCTACCCTCCTTCCTTCCTCCTCTAGCCCTAGTGAATGACGAACTTTCGCTTCCAACCAGACCATCTAATGCCCACTTCACTTAATTTTAAACCCACCGCTCTCGCCCTCCCAAGCCGACCGCCATTATCATAATCATTTTGTCCGAGTATCTGATAAACAACTCACACAACCAAACTAATAGAACACGCTTTTGCCGCAATTTCTCTCCATGTCCTCGTTTTTACTCACTTCTCCTTTGCCCATTTCACCAATTCTACTATTAAGATTCTAATTGGAAGACCCTTTCGTGTGGCCATCAGTTGTTCTATCCTATCCTTTATATGTCTTGCAGCTTCTTCTTCCTTGCGGATGCTTATTCTGTCCAGATGTTACTTTCGTTGCATTTGGGTCAGATTAGTTGTGGACATTCTCCTCAAGTTTCCACACTTTCCTCTTACCCCGCTGACCGTAACCGAGTTCCTATCCTCTGATATACATTGCTGACGCGTCTGCTAAGATTAGCATGTCTTGGCGCCTCGCTTCTTCCCTTTTTCGGCTTATTTATATTCTATTTTACTTTCTTTGCTTTTTCACGTTGCTTCCTTTCTTCCCTTTTCCCGTTCGTATTTCGTTCTTTCCCTCCAACCCTTTCACGAATACACATTTGTGGGCTCTTCTATGCGTTCGACCAGATGCTCACATCACTTTGTGACTCAGTGATCATCTGATTGGAGCTATAAAATCTCTTGGTTCTCTCGTCTGCTACCTCCTCATCCCCTCGGGTGCAATCTCTCTGACTCTTCTCTTTCCCGGCCCTTTTTCTGGCCGTGAGCCCTCCTGTCGGACCTGATTTCGACGCAGCCTCCACGCCGCCGAACGATCTCTCCGTTTTGGTCGCTAAATTCTGCATATTTTCTGCATATAATTAGTCACAGCTTTTGCAATCCCACAGTTACGGCCATGTTCTTGTGCTCTATCCAATCTGCTGGTTTGACCGATAATGTTTGCAATCTCGAATCACTCTGGATGACCGACATTAAATCCAATTATGGTGCAGGTTTTCATCTGCAATCTTCGTCGGGTCGTTTGGGGAGAAAAACGTTTCCGTTATTCCCGCTGCTTTTTTTCACTGCTTCAGGCCGACTTTTTTGTCTGGTAATCTGTCTCGGTTGGCCCACCTCTTCATTTCCTCCCCTCGACCTTCGCGAACTTTTGGCATTCGTCCACTTTTTGGCAGACTTTGCTTAAGAAACTTGGTTTTCAACATGTAAACGCCAAAATATCCCGAGTGAACTTGTAATGTCGCGTTTTCCGCCTGTGGTTCAACGCTAAGGGGCACAAACCTATACGCAACCAACATGTACACGCGAATGCGTGTACGTGATGCAACGAGACATGTCCTCACACCATGTGCTTGCGCCTTCATCAGTGTTTCCACCCCGGTCGTCTGGACGGTTGCTTCTACGTCGAGAGATGGACTCTGTCCCTCACCTGCAATTCGGTGCGACACAACCCTCCTCTAGGCGGTTTCTAAAGGAGGCTAGTCGCGAAGTATTTATATGACGCTTTCCTCCCTGTCTCTCTCACTCCCCGCACCAGGTTAGCAAAGTGTGCCTAGTTACGTCAGCTCCGGCAGAGTCGTTCTTACGCTCTGCTTTTGCTCCTCAGGCCTGACTCGCTCGTCTGTCCAGCTTAGCTTATGTCTTCCTGCAAGGAGACTAAATTATCTCGGTCAGTGACCTGGTTTATGCGCTCAGGCGGGTCGGATTTTTCGGATAACTTGTGTATAATAAGAGTAACTGGGCTTGGATGAATCTCTTAAGATTACATTATTGTGGAGACTTTTATTTCATATAAAGGTGTCGGATTAAGCCATTCATGGGTCAATCTCACCAGAAGATGACGACTTATTCACGTTGTTCTGCAGCCATTTGGCGTTCGGGTTGAGACAGTTCATGAGACATCCTCCCTCGTTTCGGAGAACGGGTCAATCGTCAGAGCTGGAACTCATTCTTGCCAAGGTCTTAAGCCAAGAAGACTTGAAGCTTGGGTTAATAAACCTAAATGACTACACTGATGGGTTATGACTGTGGTTTCGTAGTCTGACTTGCACACATACAGGCTTACATTTCTTCATCTCACCCAGAGTTTCTTCGGGGCTTACGCAATCTCGGCCATGCTTTTCCTTGGGTCATTAAACCCTGATGTCCCGGGTCTGACTAGGCTCTTTTGTAATTACTTTGATTTATGGCCTATGTTGTGTACTCGGATGTACATGTGTACATAGATTGATATACACTCGTACACACACACACACACA